GATTTGGGTTGAAATTGGACTGGATTTGGAATGGATTTTGATTGGATTTGGATTGGATTTGGGTTGGATTTGGACTGGATGTGGATTTCATTTAGAATTTATTTAAATTGAATTTGGATTTAATTTAGATTGAAATGGATTTGGATTGGATTAGGGTTGTATTTGGAGTGGATTTAGATTGGATTTGGATTTGTTTTGGATTGGATTTTGATTAGATATTGATTGGATTTGGATTGGATTTGGAGTGAATAGTACTTTGATTGAATTTGCGTTGAATTTGGATTGGGTTTGGATTGGATTGGGGTTGAATTTATATTTGATTTTGGTTGGATTTATATCGGATCCGAATTGGATTTGGAGTTTATTTATATTGGATTTATACAGGATTTGGATTGTATTTGGATTCGATTTGAGATGGAATTGGGTTGGATTTAGGATATGGAATGAATTTTGATTGGATTTAGATTGTATTTCGATTGGATTTGGGTTGGAATTGGACTGGATTTGGAATAGATTTGGATTGGATGTAGATTTCATTTAAAATTTATTTAAATTGGATTTGGATTTAATTTAGATTGAGATGGATTTGAATTGGATTAGGGTTGTATTTGGATTGGATTTAGATTGGATTTGAATTTGGTTTGGATTGGATTTTGATTGGATATTGATTGGATTTGGATTGGATTTAAATTGAATTTAGATTGGATTTGGATTGGGTTTTGATTTGGATTGGGTTTTGATTTGGATTAGATTTTGATTTGGATTGGATTAAGATTGGATATTGATTGGATTTGGATTGAAATTGGACTGGATTTGGAATGGATTTTGATTGGATTTGGATTGGATTTGGGTTGGATTTGGACTGGATGTGGATTTCATTTAGAATTTATTTAAATAGGATTTGGATTTAATTTAGATTGAAATGGATTTGGATTGGATTAGGGTTGTATTTGGATTGGATTAAGATTGGATTTGGATTTGGTTTGGATTGGATTTTGATTAGATATTGATTGGATTTGGATTGGATTTGGAGTGAATAGTACTTTGATAGAATTTGCGTTGAATTTATGTTGGGTTTGGATTGGATTGGGGTTGAATTTATATTTGATTTTGGTTGGATTTATATCGGATCCGAATTGGATTTGGAGTTTATTTATATTGGATTTATACAGGATTTGGATTGTATTTGGATTTGATTTGAGATGGAATTGGGTTGGATTTAGGATTTGGAATGAATTTTGATTGTATTTCGATTGGATTTGGGTTGGAATTGGACTGGATTTGGAATAGATTTGGATTGGATGTAGATTTCATTTAAAATTTATTTAAATTGGATTTGGAATTAATTTAGATTGAATTTAGATTGAGTTCGGATTTGATTTGGATTTAATTTGAATTGGATTTGGATTGAAATTGAGATAGATTTGGATTGGATTTGGGTTTTATTTGCATTAGATTTGAATTGGATTTATATTGGATTTTGATTGAGTTTTGATTTGGTTTGGATTGGATTTAGATAGGATATCGATTGGACTTGGATTTTTTTTTCTTTATTTGAGAGATTTTTAGCCATAGGCTAGTTCATCTCTTAATTGATTGGACTTGGAGTGGATAACACTATGATTGGATTTGCGTTAAATTTGGATTGGATTTGGATTGAATTTGGGTTGAATTCTTTTTAAAGGGGACTTAGGTTGGATTTTTATTGGATTTACATTGAATTTGGGTGGATTTGGATTGAATTGGGTTTGAATTTGAAATTATTTGGATTTGATTGGATTGAGATGGACTTGGGTCGAATTTGAAATGGATTTGGGTTGAAATTTTATACGATTTGGAATTGGGTTGGATTTGGATTGGATTTGGATGAGAATTAGACTGAATTTGGATTGGATTTGAATTGGATTTAGATTGGAATTGAGTTGGATTCGGATTAGATTTGGGATGGATTTGGATTGGATTTGAGTTGGAATTGGATATTATTTGGATTTGATTAGGGTTGGATTGGAATTGAGTTGGATTCGGATTAGATTTGGGATGGATTGTATTTGGAGTGAAATAGGGTTGGATTTTGATTGGATTTACATTGAATTTTATGTGGATTTGGATTGGATTTGGGTTTTTTTTTGGAAAGGATTTGGGTTGGATTGGATTGGGATGGATTTGAGTTTAATTTGGATTGGATTTGGGTTGGATTTAGATTGGATGTGGATTGGATTTGGGTTGGATTGTATTTGGAGTGGAGTTGGGTTGGATTTGGATTGGATTTACATTGAACTTGGATTGAATTTGGGTTTGAATTGGAAATGATTTAGATTTGATTGGATTGAGATGGATTTAGGTCGAATTAGAATTGGATTTGGGTTGAAATTTGATACGATTTGGAATTGGGTTGGATTTGGATTGGATTTGGATGAGAATTAGATTGAATTTGGATTGGATTTGATATGAATTGGATTTGGTTTGAAATTGGATAGTATTTGGATTGGATTTGAATTTGAATTGGGTTTGAATTTGAATTGGGTTTGAATTTGAATTGGGTTTGAATTTGAATTGGGTTTGAATTTGAATTGAGTTTGAATTTGAATTGGGTTTGAATTTGAATTAGATTGGGGTTGGATTGTATTTGAAGTGGACTTGGGTTGGATTGGGATTGGATTTAAATTGGATTTGGGGTGGATTTGGATTGGATTTGGATTGGATTTTGGTTGGATTGGGATTAGATTTAAATTGGATTTGGGGTGGATTTGGATTGGATTTTGGTTTGAATTGGAAAGGATTTGGATGGATTTGGGATGAAGTTGAATTAGATTTGGTTGGAAATTGGACAGGATTTGGAACTGGGTTGGATTTGGAATGGATTTGGATGATAATTAGATTGAATTTTGATCGGATTTGAATTGGATTTGGATTGGATTGGAATTGAATTTGGATTGGATTTGAATTGGATTGGATTTGAATTGGATTGGATTTGTTTTAAATGTTGGATTTGGGTTCGAATTGGTTAGGATTTGGGTTGCGTTTGGGTTGGATTTGGATTGGCTTTGGATGATAATCGCATATCAGTCCCGGTTGCATTTTCGTCTATATTAAGATAATAACACCACAGACAAACAGACATAACACTGGCAAGTTGTTCATCGAACACGGATTTGACGGTCAATTTAAATGTTTACACACTACCGCCATCTGTTCTGCGTACTACCCATCACAGTATACTCAACAGATGGCAGTAGTGTTTTAGCGACGATGTTTTCTATTGGAAGATATTCAATGTGTTATGCCTGTTTGTCTGTCCATTATCCACTATCAATTGGAATCTACTTTCATGTTACGTGATAAAACTATGGATATTCATCATGAAAAATGTGAAAACAACATCAAGTCAGTTTGTCCCATCAAGCAGAGTAATCGCATATTAGTCCCATCCTAAAATTCAATCGTCCAGAGGACAAGTTACAGTTCTGCTTTTATGGTAATTCAACCATATTTTTCTTTTTAACTTGAAAAAAAAAATTGGACTAATTTAATATGATTTTCAAAATATTTACATGGAAATTGCACTTCTTCTCAACTGCTATTTTCTCAATGCCTACTTTTGCCATATGGGATTGATATAAGATGATAAGTAGTATAGAGATGCTTGTCAGTTAGTCAGCGCACACTACTGCTCCATTTAAATTGAAGAACTGCGAGCACGAGGGAAGCAGATTAGTGGGAAAACAATGAATCTATATGCTTCCCAGAAAAAAAAAAACATACTTGTAACTTATGTTTATGTTCCACGAAGTTCCGCTTGCAAGCGTAATAAACGGTCTAACTCGATGTATCGCATACATTTAAAAAGCTATATAGAAGCGTAAATCTATATACAATAAGGGCTTGTCCAAACAGCCAAAAGTAGCTGACTAAGTTCGCCAGACTTGCTTTTGGTTTTACGTTGCCTCATATCGTTTGAGGCTGTAGAAATTAAATGAGCAAAGTGTTTAAATGATAAAAAATGGTAGTTTAGTGGACCACAGTGCAATGAAAAATTTACTTATCTACGGATTGTATACTCCATGAAAAGTTAACATCACTGTATTGTACAATGATATTATTTCCGAGCTAATCATCAATTGGGCTTAACTTTCGAAATTGCCGACGAGTTCCATGATACCTTAGGTCACTTTACTGCTCACTTGTGCGGTCTTTATTGGAGTCATATTTTGTTGTAAAGTGTGGTGTCCCTTCCATACTAACTGGATCGCTAGAATTGAATCCATTCTCTGTAAGATACGCTCTTCGTTTTAGTTGGTGTGACCCAATGAACTGGCCACCGTACGAGGAGCGTTGCCGTCTGCTGAGCATCGAACCACTAGAGGTGAGATGGACGGTTGCTCAAGCTATGATAGCTGGAAAGCTGCTTACGGGTGAAATCGACTGTCCAACATTGCTGGCATAGCTAAATTTGTACGACCCCGAGAGACCTCTTCGTCAACGTGTTTTTGGAACCACGGAGAAGAAATTATACACTACATGAGCCAATTCGATCAATCAGCCGGCAGCTCAACAACTTCTTTGGTGTGTTCGACTTTAATTTATCAGCTGACCGTAACTAATTTGTTTATATTTTATTCATTTAGACATTGTCAGCTGAATTATTTAAAAACAAATTCATCCGAGTACCGAGAAATGAGGAGGAAATCTAGACCAACAATTGAAATAGGCGGAACAACCAAACGTAAACAATGGCTTTAAACACAAAATTCTCGAGAATCAAAACACTCCCACGCAAACTAACAATGACATTCGATAAAGGAAGTTTGCTCTATCAGATGACGGTGTTAGATTGCTTCGATGTGCTATGATTCTTGAGGAATTTGCGAGCCATTATTTACGTTTGGTTGCTCTGCCTATTTCAATTGTTGGTCTAGAAATACTCCCTCGCACTCCGGGTACACCCATGAGGAGAGAAAGAGGCTTTTGAAGACGACCATATCAAAATGCAAATAACTCACCTTCTCTGGCACCTTCAAGCTGAGACACATCTCGTAGTCGGCAAACGCTTCCGGTCCGGTGTCCACATTGTCACAAAGTCCTCGCAATCTAAAATAAATCGAAACTTTATTGATATTCACGCTAAGCAACAACAATCACTCAAAAACCATGCAGTTCTCTCAGTACACTCACCGATGCAGCAGGTGTTCGGCAGCCGAATCAAGAATTGAACCCTGTAGCAGAAACTCCTGGTTTGGAATGATATTGGACTGCAGCGCCTGGTTCAGCAAATCGACGGCATTCACCGGTGTGGCCGTTGTGGTCATAATTGCTCAAATAATTAAAGATAACAAAACAGCCGATTAAATGAGATGCGATTCACGCAGTCCGAAGCTGCGATGTAAACAACAACAAATTTATTTGGAGGAAGCGAGTGTGTGGTTTGACAGCCGGTTGCACGGTAACAGCTGGTACCAGCAGCGCCGCCACTGTGAAGTGTGCATGCAAGTAGAACTACAACACATCAACCGCCGCCATATGTGAACTTTCAAACGCCGTCGATTGAGTGATATGTGCACGTGATTGGATTCTGTGCAAATCAAAATGGAATGTAACCAATAATATAACAGACTTTCAGCTTTCAGTTGATGTCTTACAGTTGCGTTCAATTGAACTATAAATAACGGTGCGTTTGAACTGGAAAGCCGTCGTAATTTTCTCAAGCCGCCATGAAATATTTCTCATCAATCGCCTGTATGACTTCCAGAAGAAGTATGAACACAAATACTACTATCCAACTAAAACCTGTCAAACTCTCAAGGTAAACTTGTTCTTCGTCTCAGCGGATACCCTTCACCCGTCAGATCAAGACGCTTTAAATATGTATAGAAAAGAAACCCCCCTTCGATGGGTGGAACGAGTACTGAGTCAAGTGAATGGTTCAGTATAGAACTTGCCTGTCGACGTCGCAGTACGGTCGACAGTCTCAGCAGTCAGTGGGACGGGTTGCGATAATCCATTCCATCGCACATAGCTCTACAACGTACACAACAATGGCAATGGCACAGCTGCTACAGAATTGATCTGAAAAGTGCCCGCCTGAGAAGCTGTTTGTATATCCCGAGTGTGTTTTGTGCGGTTTAATAGTGTTTTTTCTCTCGACAATCCAGTCACGAACGGGCCACTACGTGTGCGCATCTGTAAATGATAATAATTGGCGACGAAGTTTCAGGAGTTTGCTAGATTTGCCAAAGAAAACTGAAATCAGGTGAGCATTCCTTCGCTTTTTTTTTTTGTTTAATCGATTTTTGTTATTATTCTCTGCATCGCAGTTGGCCAAGCAGAGAATAAGCAATGTTTTCACTTTTGTTGGTAAACCCGTTGCAGATATTACATAAATCGTGGCGCTTAGCGCCGATTAGTTAGCTGCCGAGCTGGAACTTGAATGTTTACTCGCCTCGCGCGCCTCTCATCGTGCAGAAAGGTGTGCATACCGACGCGATATCTGTGTCATTGGGTTACTTCTTTTGCTCGCTCATTTAGTTGAGCAATTTTGATCGCCACTTGCAATTGCCGCGAAGAGGAAAGCGCAGTGTGTGAAGGTCGCCCGATACCGTGGTTCAGTGACTTCCGCGCAGAAATGGCAATCGATATCATACGCCTACTTTTCCAAAAAATAATCTGTCTAAATAAGCAACCGAAATGCTTCCCAGGGTACTGTCTCTTTATCATACCGCATTAATTCCTCTGTGTTTTCCGACGATAAGATTCAGTGTGCCGTCGTTATCAAAATTTGATACGCACAGAGGAAACTCAAACACATCGCTTCCCGATCAACAATAGACCGCTCGGTTGACTGATGATTGGCCACTTAGAAGCATCGAGGGCTACAATGGCATACATTATGTGACATGAACGACCGAGAACACTTATCAATTTTCCTCTTCGAGCGAGGCGAGTGCAATGCTCCAGATCCAGTTGGTTCGACTTCGACCCGCTTCCTTAGCAAAACTTGTCACACTTGATTTCCTAATTGTTATTGTTAACTGTATTTGTTGTTGTTGTGCCTTTTATCGTCGCTTACTGTTGATTCTCTCTTTCTTTCAGTTCCAGTTCCAGCTGATCAATTCAGCACGCTACGGGGCTTCTGTACTGAGACGGCGGCTCTTATCACCGTAGTAGTAGGCTGGTCATCGTTTCTGCACAGGTGCTCAGATTAACTGAAATCCACAGGAAGATGCACATGCACATGTCATTCTGGTGGGGCGCCGATGTGGGAGATGTGTTCTTCAAGGGGCTCACGGTGAGCACGACCGAAACGATGGTGGCCCTCTGCCTAACCCTCACGGTGCTGTCGATCGTGTACGAAGGACTGAAGGTATGTAATGGCTTTACAAGTTACACCTCGAAATTAGTGCCGAATTTTTAACAGTGAAGTTATAATATGGTAATGCGGAATATGCCAATGAATCGATCACGTTTTAAAATGGGACTGTTTTAAGGTAAATCCTTGCAAAAATGACCGACATGATGGCTGACTTGCACAATCATCAAATTCCTAATAGAACACAAATCTCGAATACCGTTGCGATATCGCACATGAAATTGCTACTCCATGTGTGCTGCACTGCAACAAATGTGGAGCTGCAATTTCGTTGTTGTATGATTTGTATGACAGTGTTCGGACCAGGGGGTAAGTCTCTTCCACCTTGTGCCTGGTGCTTATTGTGGTTCATGTGTGTTTTTGGGTGTTGGAAGGTGTTTCTTCGTGTCGACCGAGCTATCAAACTTCAACCGAAAAAAATATGCTAACTGGCAACCATATCCTCGACCATGACAAAACACTGAAACGACACCAGCAACGCATTCCCTGTTGTTTGCATAATACAAAAAAGTACATCTGATTCTTTACCGAAGATGGTCGAGGAAAATGTGGGAAGCGAACTAAAACAACTAGTTAAATTCATCAAGATGTGCAAAATTCAGCTCTAAAAGGCAACATAGCATAAACAGGACACTACCATTAACAGCTACAGAGACGAGGTGAACTGAAGTCGTTAGTGATCTAGAATTCTAACACATTCTGTTGTTGTGACATCCCCAAATGCAACTAGCTACCAAAATGAATTCGACGGTGAACATACATAAGGGCCTAACTGCAATTGTTGTTTTATTGTTTATTGTTGTTTTACATCAACAGGCCCCAATGATTTTAACCTTATCAACTATGGTAAAAAAAATACATTCAAGCATGGTCATAACATAAACAAACATTAAAAAACGTATATCTTATAGTCAATATCTCAACTTCTGCCGGCGAAAAATAGAAGAAAACTTTCGACGAAGCGCATCACGGGAGAGATGAAAGTCGAAAACAGATGCAACTCTGTTGAATGTTCTCTGCAGTCCGCAAATCGCACCGTACGCTCCATAATTAGTGCGACGTAGAGGCAGTCTTAGCATAAGGTTATTACGAACCGGTCGGGGTTGAAAATTCAGGTCAATTTGCCTCAGGATAGCCTCACAATCTGTTCTTCCTTGTAGGATATCGTCCACGGTTAGGGCTCTGTTTGTGTCTCTTCTAGTCCGGAGAAGTTCTAGGTCGATAAGTTGACAACGGCTTTCGTATCTTGGTAATCGAAACGGATCATTCCATGGCAATCTACGCAACGCAAAACTAAGAAAGCGACGTTGAACAGATTCCATTCTCTCGGCACCGTTGTTATAGTTTGGGTTCCAAACCGCTGAACAATACTCAAGCGTCGATCGAACAAGCGAACAATAGAGAGATTTTAGACAGTATATCACACCCAAGTCTTTCACCTGATTCACGCGTTCGATTGTCGAGCCAAGCAGGTCATAGCTAAATATTATCGGTTGTTGTTTTCGTGAGAACGAAATAGCGGAGCATTTGGCTGGGTTCACTACCATTCTGTTTAACCTGCACCAACTAGCGAATACATTCAGTTGACGTTGAAGAAAGTGACAGTCAGCAATGGAGCAGATTCGTAGGAAGATTTTGAGGTCATCTGCATATGATAACCGAGGAGCTTCGATGACCAGATGCACGTCGTTGAAGTACAGTATAAAAATTAACGGTCCCATGTGGCTTCCCTGAGGTATACCTGATGTGGCGAAGAAGCTAGCTGATCTGCAATCGCCTATGGCAACCTTTAGTTGGCGGCCGGTAAGATATGATCGAAACCAACTCAGAAGATTACCGCATACACCGAGCCTGCCAAGTTTAGCAATCGCAATAGCATGGTTCAACTTGTCGAATGCTGCGGATAGGTCTGAATAAATAACGTCCGTTTGAACCCGATCCGACATGCTTTCGGTTATATACGATGTGAGACACAGCAGACTGGTAGTTATAGAGCAGCCGACAGTAAACCCATGTTGTTCAGCACTCAAATACTGCTTGCAATGGGACAGCAACGGTTCCATAATCACTAGCTCGAATAGCTTCGAAACGGCACTTAACGATGTAATTCCTCGATAGTTATCCACAGCTCGCTTCCTTCCTTTTTTGTGGACGGGAAACATGTGCGCAAATTTCCAGCAAGATGGAAATATGCCACCTGAGAGAGATATTCGGTACAGGCGAAGAAGCGGCATTAACAAGCTAGCAATATGTCTCTTCAAAAATACAGATGGAACTCCATCAGGTCCAGGATTGAAGGATGGCTTGAGCAGAGTCGCGGCCTTAGAAATCATTTCTGCATTAACATCAATTGCACCCAACGTTTGATCGTTTACTGGAACGTTCCTGGCAGCCAGGTTAATATAGTCGTCAGTTAGTGTCTAATTAGTGAATACACTGGCAAACTTTTCGGAAAAACAGTGGCAGCAACTTCTCCGTTGAATTCCATAGACGATGGGAGGCCGGATTCCCTGCGTTGCTCGTTCACGTAGTTCCAAAAGGATTTCGGGTGTAGCTTAAGTTTGCGCTGGACGCCTCGTTGGAAACTTGAAAAGCATTCACTACTGACTCGCTGGTACATGTGATTCAGGCTCCCATAATGTATTTTCAAAGGAAGCGTGCGTAAATCTTCTCAATGCTGTTCTCTTGATTGACTTCAACCTACGTAGCTCTCTCGTCTGCCAGGGAGAGTGAGACACTTTGTGGTGAGTTCTTTCGGGACATGTCTGTCAATGACATATGCCAAGACATGTGAAAAGGCTTGCGCTGCTGCTTCAACGTCATCTGGATCAAGTATGTTCTCCCATACCATGCTAGACAATACATCTATAATGCTACGGTGGTCAGCTTTACGGAAGTCGTAAGAAACGGTAGCAGTATAGTCGCCGAAATCACGCACGAGTTTGTCCTCAACAGTGACAATTAGAGGAGGCTTATGTGGAACTAGCTTAGTTAGTGCACAATGAGCCGAGGAAATTGATGGAGCCCTGTCCTGTGTGCTCACGAAGCAGAGGTCCAAACTACGACCATTTTCGTTAACTACATGGTTAATTTGAGAAAGCGTCGCTGCGCTGTAGTTGTCGAGAAGGCTAATAGCTCCTGCGTGAAATGTAGAGCTATCATGATCTGGATACAGGAATCCGCTATGAGATGGACTCCACGAAACGCCTGGCAGATTGAAGTCACCAAAAATGAATACCTCATCAACTGGAGTGGAACTTTCGACAACTGTGAAAACTGACCGACAGTGAGTATCGATGAGTTCATTGTCGCGGACTCGATCAGGTGGAATGCGCATAGAAATAGTGTGCGATCACCCAGATTGATGGCTGTCCAAACCTGCTCCACATTGTTCCATGAATCGTTCTCGATGGCCTTTGCCTCCAACCCGCTACGGACAGCTACAAGGACACCTGCACCAGTAGATTTACGGCTGTTGTTAGGATTCCGATCGCAACAAAAGACCTCGTAGTCAAGGTTGCAAAGACTCATTTCAGCTAAAATAATGTTTTTCGGAATAATAAAATTAAAAGATGGTATGATGGCATGTTTTACTTGTAACTTATAAGAAGAGGTTACAAAGTATGCGTTGGAAACATAAAACCTGTAAATTTTGCTTTCTATGAGTCACAATCAGCGATTTGCTGATCGCTGAGTGAGTGAGTGAGTGAGTGAGTGAGTTTGTGAAAAATCGCTGATTGTGACTCTCATGAAGTGAAATAAACAGGTTTAATATGTCAAACACATTCTTTGCAACCTCTTCTTGTATCCTACCAATTCAAAATTTGATCATGGCATCTAATTATTTCATAATTTAGAAAAACATTGTTTTAGCTGAAATGAGTCTTTGCAACCTTGCTCGTAGTCAGGACCGAAGACTTGACTGGAAAGCGTTCGATAATCGAGCCACGTTTCGCACAGGACAATAATATCGTAGCAACGATCCGATACAGCTGGGCGGTACTCTTCAACATCAGAATTAATTCCACCGGCGTTTTGGTAGAAGATCACGACGTCCTGCTTGCGGCAAGGAATCGAACGACTGCTCTCTCTGGAAATCACAGATACATCAGGCAATAACTGACCATCATCAAGTCTCATTGGATACTCGCCATAGTGAGTGGGTTGGAAGACCCCCTCTCCGCATCCGACAGCAGGTCCGGAACGACTATGATGAACGAAGGCTACTGAGACGGAGGGATTGGGGGCTTCCATGAAGCTTTCTACGGCGCGTTCCGGGTTTCCAGGATTAGGAGTTACAGAGGCACCATCACAATGACTAACATAGTTAGAATTGCTGAAAATTTGATCGGCATCAGACAGTGAATAGTTGATATATTGATTGTACTTGCTTGTAGAGGCAAGGTGGAAGACTCCTGATTCATATCCAGCCACAGGTCCAGGACCACTATGCTGAACGCTGGCGGGAATCGGCACGACTGGGCTGGAGTAACCAGGAGCTTCCAAAGAGCGGTCTATTGTGCGTCCCGGAGATGAATTAGGATTGTTCGAACAGTAAAGCAGATGTTGTGAATGAGCAGTACCAGAAGTGCTTCTCAACTGGAAACAGCCGGCAGGTGCTTGAAGCGTTGCACTGGAACACGGAAACTGATCAGGCAAATGACTGTAACTAATGTATGCATACTTGCCTGAAGACGATGCTTGGGAGACCCCACCACCGAACTCGACCGCAGGGCCAGAACGACTCTGATGGCAGGAAATAGAACGACTTTGATGGCGGGAAACAGCTAGCGCGACTGGATCGAGTGGTTCGAGGTCTCCCATAATTTACAACGCAAAATCCAATTCTGAATCAGCAGATTGGGTCTAGTCCGGAAATGGGAGTTGAGAACTCGGAAGGTCCCGTAATAGGAGAGATCGTGATGGTAGACGTGTTCAAACGAGGCAACCACATGTTTTTTGAACCGTCTTCAAATTCACGGAACAAAATTCCT